AAAGGCATCAGAATGAAATTATATTTGCTTTTTATCTGTGTCTAACTTTTATCAAACCCAGTGCGTCAGTGACTTGAAAAATCCTCCAGCTAGTTTGCGTGCCCCTCCTCTCTTGTTTTTAAAATGCTAAGACCAAAAAGACTTTAGACAGGAAATGACGGGGGAATTAGGAGGAAGTTTGCATTTTGTCAGGACTTGGACCTGCCCGTGATCGCTGGTGTGCTCATAGGGGACTGCGGCTGGGGTCACCGTGCCTTTTTCCAAAGCTCAACTTTGTAAACTGTCTTTTTCTCAAAATCAAAAGCGTGATCATTGAATCATTGGTTCTCAGAGTCGGTGTCACTTCATTAGAGTGAGTCAACTCTAGTGTCTGAAAAGAAGCCAAGTTCCGTTTAACTTTTGTTTTTAATTGCTATTTACACAGCAGGCATAGTTATCTGTACACTTTTGAGGGAGCAGCTGTGAAAAACATTAAAGTGATGACAAAATCATTGAATAAGTATACTAACTAATGTGGTTTGTTCAGAACCAGAGGAAAGGAAGGGAGAATGTAAAATATCTGACAATAATATTGGTAAAGTAACATTTAAAGTAATAAGTCAAAAAAAAATTTTGTGTTTTGGTTTTTTGAGACAGGGTCTCACTATGTAGTTGAGACTGACCTGGAACTCACTGAGTAGCCCAGGCTGGTCTCGAACTCACAGTGATCCTCCTGCCTCAGCCTCCCGAGTGCTGGGATTACAGGCATGTGCCACCATACCTGGCTTGGTCTGGAAGATTTGAGAAGGTTCGAATTTAGAGGCTTCTGTTGGAATATGTTTTTCACAAGTAAGAGCAGCTTGCTTTCATCACCAGTGAGAGCTGGCAGCAGGAGAAGCCATCAGACATTAAGCTTATCAAGAAGGCACTAGAAGTTGGGTAACAGAGTCCCATGAGGCATGAACAAAACCAGTGATTAAAGGCTGGTAATCAACTTTCATTACAATTAAACCAGGCCCATAAATAGTACCAGGACAGGCAAATCCAGAAGATTTGGATTTAAGGAAGAGGAAACACTCGATTGTAGGGATGTATCCTAGAGACCAAGTAGTGACAGTGACAGGGTGAGTTTCCCTTATCTGAAATGCTTGGGATCAACAGTGTTTCAGGTTTTGGAGTTCTTCAGATTATATAATTTTTTTTTTTTTTTGTATGGGGGATCGAACTTGGGACCTTGCACTTTCAAGTCAAGCAGTGGAACCACTGAGCTAAATCCCCGGCCCACTAAACAATATTTTTAAAAATAATTTTAATAATCACTGTGTATTTTGATCACCCCTTATCCAATTAAATTTTGTTTTTGTTTTGTTTTTTGAGACAGGGTCTCACTATGTAGTTGAGACTGACCTGGAACTCACTATGTATCCCAGGCTGGTCTCAAACTCACAGAGTGATCCTCCTGCCTCAGCTTCCCAAGTGCTGGGATTACAGGTGTGAACCACCACGCCCACCTTAAATTTTTTTTTTTAATGGGTGAACTAAATCACTTAAAAATGTAATGGTTTTTTAGTAGCAAAATGCATTCACATAGTTTTACCCATCTAGTGTTCATATCAAGTTGAGAGGGAAATGTTACTTTATTTTATGCTTGAGAAAATGGAACTGAACTGATAATATTTTTTTTCAATTCATAGCCAGTAAGTGACTGCTGAAAATCCAACTCAGAATTTAGACCTTTAAGCATCAAGCTCTTGGTATTAAGCTCAATGTTGTGTTCTATGAATTGCAGTTTACTGTAAAGAAGCAATAGTATTGTTTTCTATAAGTGTAATACATTTTCTGTTCTTATGGCTAATATGCAGTTTCTTTTATAGTGAATTATCAGAGCATCAGAAAATAATTAATTAGACTTTTGTATGTAGTAAAGCATGTTTGGATTTTCAAAAATTTGATGTCCATGCAGCTTTTCAAGCATAGGATTTTTTTTTTTTTTAAACAGGGTCTCTTTAGGTGGTTTAGGCTGGCCTTGAACTCATGATCTTCCTGTCACATACTCCTGAGTGCTGGATTACAGGTGTGTACCACCACGCCTGGCAAGCACAAGTCTTTTTTCATAGAGCTTTCTCTTGTGTAATGTTGGAGGGGCAGTGTGGTATGCTGTAATGCTTTTTTTAAAAAAATTTTTTGTACCGGGGATCAAACTCAGGTTCTTGTGCTTGTGAGGCAGGCGGTGGAACCACTGAGCTAAATCCCAGGCCTGTAATGCTTTTCAAACTTTAATGGCACAAGAATTGCTTGTATTTAATTGCTTTTTAGGACCTGGAAAGTTTTCTAGGTAATTCTGGTAGAGATGGTCCTCGGGAAACAGTATCTGGGGAAACACTGATAGGACTATGTACTGCAAAAGTCATTGGTAGTAGGCCAGGTATTTAGCCCAGTGGTGCCACACCTGCCTTGTAAGCTCAAGGTCCTGAGTTCGATCCCTGGCACGCACACACACACAAAGTCAATGGTAGTGATTTGACCTACAGTAAGTACCCCTTCAGTTCTTGGCATAGAACTTGGTACATAGTAAATGTTCACAGTATTCTATTTGTAGGTGATGGCATGGTTAGCAACTGAGAAGCCAGAGAGTATTTGTTGTTTTCATTAAACCACATATACTCCATTCCTTTATATATAGGAATTGGCAGATATGAAAGGACAATGGACAGTTGTCTTGTGGAATTTATATGACAGACTAGTAGTAAAGGTCCAATTCTTCCCTTGTAAAAAAAAAAAATTAATATCGAAGGCATGCCTGTGCTATCTTCCTTGCTGCAAATTAAAAAAAAAAATTTTTTTTTTAATTTGAATGAGGTTTACAGGGCAAGGAAATGGACTGATTATTATTTCTCTGTTTTATTATTGATCTAAAACTATACTAGCCAGTGCAGCTACAGTGTCAACTATTTAATTTAAATGAATTAAAGTTAAATAACAGTAGAAATAGTGTTTCTCAGTGGTATTAGCTGCCTTTCATGGGCTCAGCAGCCGCCTGTGGCTCCAGGTGCTCTTTACTGGACAGTGCAGATGTGAAACGGGTTCACCATTGCACAAAGTTCAGTTTCACAGTGGTGCTCTGAAGTCCAGAGCAACAGAGCAGTGATTTTCTAGTGGCCTTGATCTGTAAACTGATTTTGAGGTAAATATTAGCAGTGTATTAAGGCTGTCACTTCAACTTTAAAAATTTTTTTTTTTTTTGAAATAGAGTTGTGCTAAGTTTACAGGTGGAATTCAAACTTGCAGTCCTCCTGCCTCAGCTTTTCTCAGTACTGGATTATAGATTTGTGCCACCATACCTAGCTGTATTTCATACACTCATACCCACCCCCCACTCTGTGTTACTGGGGATTGAACCTAAGGTCTTCACATGGAGCTATGTCCCCAGAACTTAAAATTTTTTATTTTGTTTATTTTTGGTACTGGGGATAGAACTCAGGACCTTGCACTTACAAGGCAGGTGGCAGAACCACTAAGTGAAATCCCTGGCTAGAGTTTGTTTTTTTTTTTTTTTTTTTTTTGGTACCAGGGATCGAACTCTGGCCCTTGAGCTTGCAAGGCAGGCACTGGGACTACTGAGCTAAATCCCTGGCCCTAGATTTTTTAGTTTGAAACAGAGCCTCACTAAGTCACTGGGCTTGAATTTGAGATTCTCCTGCCTCAGCCTCCCAGAGTGCTGGGATTACAGGTGTGTATCATTATACCTGGCTTCATTTCCATTCTGATGTGCTTTAATACCTTAAGATTGAATAAGCCCTGGGCTACTATTGATTTACATTAACAATTTCATTATACAGCAAGTGGAATCTAAGTACTAATTCTGAGCTTTTTTTTTTGGTACCAGCGATCAAACTCAGGACCTTGCACTTGCAATGCAGGTGGCAGAACCACTGAGCTAAATCTCCAGCCCTGTGAGATTTTTTTTAAACCTCAGAGTAATACATTATTTTACTGCATTAAGTATAGCGTTTCATGTGTGTGCATGTAAGAGCAGGAGAGAATTCTACATTCTTTTAATTCAGAATTCATTGTCTACATTAAAGTGTTATTTAAAGCATTATACTTGCTTTCAGTGTATATTTAATGAACTGCTGGGAATGAAGAATAGGCAGTTTCATCTGTGCTAAGCAGAATTTGTAACATTTATGTGAAATAATCTATTTATAGAAGCCAAATACAAGAATACTGAAAAGTTGAGTTGACACCATTGGTTAGAATTCTTTAAGTAGGACACCTTTTATGCTTTTTTTGTCTTTTGGGACATGGTCGCACTATCTTCTAGGTTGGCTTTGAACTTGTTGTGTTGTCCAGGATGACCTTGACCTAGCAATCCTCCTGCATCAGCCTTACAGAGTGCTAGGGTTACAGTTGTGTGCTACCATGCCTGGTTTTTCTTTCACACAATTAATTATGATATATTTGTTGTTTTGGATATTGAAAAACAGAAACAATATTTTCAGTACTTTGTGTTCTTGTTAAAACCTGTATGTAAAAAATGGCTTCTCAGCCTTTTGGCTAAGATCAAGTGGAAAACCTGTATGTAAAATTATGTAGCACTCACTGCACTCTGATGTCCAGGCCATGGATGCTTTTTTTTTTTTCAGAGACCAAGAAGGGATGTGCAGCAAAGAATGTTGCTCAGGGGTAGAGCACTTGCCTGGCGTGCTTGAGGCCCCAGTACAACCACCAGTACCACAAAACAGACAGACAGACTGACAGAAAAGAAGGCAGGGAGGAAAGAAAAGAAAGAATACGCAGTTGCTTTGTTTCTTAACCTTTGTTTTCTGAACACAAGTACTGTGAACCGTTAAAGATAGATCCTGCCTTTTTGCCCTTCAGGTCTTGCTGTTGTCCCTTTCTGAGCAGAAGGCAACAGGAGAGCTGCCACTCTGTCCCAGGTCGTGGGTGAGAGTGACCCAAGTCATTGAAATCCTTTGTGCATTCCTGGCGCCTCCTTCAGTGACCTTCTGTCTTTCCAGGTCACTTACTTCAGCCTCTGGTACTACAACAAGCAAAACCAGCGCCGCTGGGTAGATTTAGAAAAACCTCTCAAGAAGCAGCTGGATAAACACGCGCTGGAACCTACCATCTATTTTGGAGTGGTGTTTTATGTGCCTTCAGTGTCACAGCTGCAGCAGGAGATTACCAGGTGAGAAAGTATACACAGCCTGTTTTTTTGCAAATAATCTAGTGAGATTAGGAAAGTGAAACTAAGGTTGAAGGAGGAAGATAAAACTCTGAAACTTTGCCCTCTCACCCTACACTTTTGTCAGCCTATTACCAGGGGGTTCTGGTACTCAGTATGTCATCAGAGTTTTACTGCTTGTCAGGTGAGTAACGGGCTCACTAGGTACAAAGGAACGATTAAAAAGGGCAAATGCTGTTTTTACCCTGGCTGTAAAGTCTTCTTAGTGGAGTTACCTTTTATTGTTTTGTTTCTGATGCACTGTGACAAGTAAACGAGAGAAGAGATTTTCAAAATGTAGCTTCAGAATCTGTGTTCACTCCTCAAGCAAATATGGGGAAGGTTCTTACAGCTCTCTGACTCTAGAAGCTGTATTTATAGGCAATACGAGGAAGAGTGTGTGTGTGGGAGCCACAGAGAGGGAGAGGGAAGGGGTTTGCAATCAGAAAGTGTTGACCAGTAACTACTCTGTGAAGGCCCAAAAGTGGAAAGGGAAGAAGATATTAAGAAGGATGCTAAGGGCCAGGGATTTAGCTCAGTGGTTCCAGCGCCTGCCTCACAAGGGCCCGAGTTCGATTCCTGGTACTGCAAAATAAATAAGTAAATAAATAAATAAAACTTGAATACTTGGGGCCTAGAATGTGGATCAGTAATAGAGTGCTTGCCTAGCACAAAGCCCTAGCTTGATCCGCAGCCCTTGAAAGGAAAAAAAATTTGAATTCTTGAGCTTGCCCAAGTTCTCTAAACCCACAGTACTTTATGTTTTTAAGCCTCTGTGACTTTGCTCTGGAGCCAAGCTGGACAAGTTCCCATATGCTGAGCATACTGTGTACCCTTCCATCTTTGGTCTTAGTCTTGTATTTACTTATTGCAATCATCCTATTTATCTTTTTTTTTTGGATGCTGGAGATCGAATTCGGGTCCCTGCACTTGCAAGGCAGGTGTTGGAACCACTGAGCTAAATCCTCCGGCCCCCTGTTCATCTTTTGTGTAGGCACATCTTTTCATGTGCCTACATGAAGTTCTGTGACTCCCAGGCTGGAATGAGCATTCTTAAAATTGCTGTACTTTTGTTAAGAGATCAGTTGTCACCACCCCTCATTGTGCTCTTTTGTGTATATATCTTATCTTCTTCCTAGATTTTAAATCCATGTTTGTCTTTAGATTTCCATTTCTTTTGAAAGCTAGGCAGAACCTGGTACAGCCCCATGCTTGTGGAATGCTGTTTGAGCCTACAGTTAATTATTGGAAGAGAATGGAAAACCAAAGAAGTTGAAAGGATCAAGGGTAGAGAAAAATAAATACTGACCGTGAAGCTGGTCTAAAATATAAACGTTGAAGAAAGAAGTGAAAAGCAGGAGAAAAAACACGAACTGATCTTGCACTTATTTAAACATTTATTGATGATATACTGTGAGGGTCTAAGAATCATGTTGGGTAGTGTGGGAGATGAATACACAAATGTGTATTCTTTATTTGGACCCTGGAGGAGTTGCTTGTAGTCTGGTGGAACTGGCAGTTCATGTAGACAAATAATTACAGTATCCTATGTTAATAAATGCTTTAATTAAAGCTCTGGGTTCCTAGGTGTGGGGCATAGAGAACTTGAACAGGGAAGATAAAAAAGTTGGCTTTTGATTTTATAAACTCTAGAAGGGATTTTTAGTTAGAGGGACGAACCATGAAAAGCAGAAGGAAGAATGAAAGTCTCAGGTATTATGTGGAGAGGCAAGAGGTTTAAAAAGCAGGCTTGTGTTAGTCATAAAGTCCTGGGACCATGTGGAAGACCTTTCAGATTTTAATGGGATGGGATGATCAAATTTACATTGTGCAAGATCTCTCATAATGAGAGGTCAGTTCTATTGTGGCTGATCTCTAAGTTAGAATACAGGTGGTGGCAGGAGACCAGTGAGGAAGGTCTATGACATAATTTAGGCATCAGTCTAGAAAATAGGCTAGAACAAAGGCATTAACCATAGGAACAGTTGAAAGACAGTGGGCCCATTACATTCGCTCAGTAGGGTTGCTAATTGGGTCTAGGAGAACTTAATAGAGCAGTTCCATGGGTGAGTATGAAGCATGGCCATGCATAACAAAGACAGCCCAAGTATTCTGTGAGAGTCCTCAAGGATCTTTACTTTCTCTTGCTGGTCCACCATTCTCAGCGTGTTCTTCAACTCACGAGGTCACTGTACAATCCAAGATATCTACAAAAATTCTAGCCATCATCTGTACAGTGAGGGAGCACAGCAGTGGTTTTCGGGGTGGGGGGTCAGGGGGGTGCTGAGGTATACAAGAAACTCTAGCAGGTGGTGGCGTGTTCTTTGTCTTCGGGCAATGATTTCATGAATACTCTTACGTGTCAGAATGACCTGTTAGCTCTATGCAGTTTGTTACATGCTGATTATACATCAAAAAAGGTGTTACCATTCAAAGATACTTTAAGGAAGAAAAAGGGGAGAACAAAACTAAATATTGCCATGCCTTGACACTGTATTTGACTGCCTTGAAACTCATCAAGTTTGATAGTTTTCCCCCAAAGTTTTGTCCAGGTGCTGGTTTGTTTGGCACTTCATGCACAAGCTAGAACTGTTCCATGTTGATTGCCATGTGACTCACTCCCCTTTCCAGTCAAAACGATGTGTTGCATCCTTGTTGTTTTCAGTACACATGGCATCTCTGGGAGCAAATTAACAGTGACTACCAAGGTACCACTGTAACAAAAGTGAAAGGAATGAAAATTTGCGAGAAAAGTATGCGCATAAACAGCAGAAAATGGCCACCCAGTATTACAAAATGAACAAAAGAAACTTAAGAAAATGACATGTATTGAAATCCAAATTAGATGAGCTTAGGAATGATCTGGTTATGCAGTAAGAGGTGAACAGGAAAATAAAGCTAACAGAAGCAATAAAAGAATTAGAGATAATTTTAAAACAATAGAAACATTATAAATTTAGACGACAAGACCAAAAATTAAAACACATGCACTAAGATTCTCTAAAGGAGAAAGTCAGAACATCAATGAAAACAATTTTTTTTAAACCATAATAAAACTTCTTTGAAAGGCTAATGACTTGAAGCTGTTACATTGAACAGACAAACTGCGTTCCCAGAACTCAGCCAAGAGTATTCAGTGCCATGATATACCCTGCAAAGTCACTGGAAATTGAGTATGTAGACAAAAACTCTGTTACTCACGAATTCAAGGTGGCATCAGACTTTTGGAAGAACACTTCGTGACAACACATACAAGAATGACATTTAACATACTTGAGGAACTATGAGGTGGTATATCTCGCAAAAATGACCTTTAAATATGCCATATTAAGAATGCCATATTAAAGTAACAGAAACTCACTTCCTCACGGTGTGGAGATCTCAGCATAGCTGGTGCTGGCCAGGGATCCCTTCCTGGGTTGCAGACCTTCTTGGGACCTCACGTGGCAGAAGGAGTAAACTCTCTAATTGTTATAAAACATCAGTTCCATCAAGAAGTCCCCACCCTCACAGCTTCGTCTAAACCTTGTAACCTCCTAATGGAGCCATCCTGAAGTATCCCCATGTGGTGGATTAGAGCTTTAACACGCACACTTGTGGTGCTGAGTACAGTTCAGTCCTCAGCAGGATGTAAAGGCCCAAACATTTGGGTACACGCAGGAACGTGGAAACTGTTGCTTTTGCATGCCCTGCGGGAGCTAACATACAACCCATCTTTAGTCAGCTACTTAGTGATTAAGCAAGCTTCACCATTATCTGTGTCTGGGACCTAGAAACAGTGACAAGTAGGTGTTAATGAACACCCTGGCTCATGATTTTAGTCTTAATACCATTTTCCATAAGAGGAATTCGAATTCTGTGGGGGAGACAGTGCTCCTGTCAGGGCTAAGACCACTGATGATGTCAGAAGACCCCGGAACTTATTTGAAGAAATGTTTATTAGCAAAAGAGGAAATTGTGAGCCAGGGATTTAGCTCAGTGGTGCCGCCGCCTGCCTGGCAAATGCAAGGTCCTGAGTTCGATCCCCGGTACCACCCAAAATAAAATAAATAAAAATTCAGGAAGTTACATATTATGAACTGATGAATTTTTAAAAATATACTTGATGGCCGGGCGTGGTGGCGCTCGCCTGTAATCCCAGCACTCGGGAGACTGAGGCAGGAGGATCGCTGGGAGTTCGAGACCAGCCTGGGCTACATAGTGAGTTCCAGGTCAGATTCAACTACATAGTGAGACCCTGTCTCAAATAACCAGAAAAAAAAAACAAAAACAAAAAACCAAAAAACAAAAAATATACTTGATGTATTTCAATCTATATAGTTCATAATATGTAACTTCCTGAATTTTTATCCAAATGCGGAAGTGATACAGAGGAAATACTGCTGACTGACCTACAGTACCTGATTGCTGATAATAACAGCTATTGTTTGAGTGCACTTTTGACAAGGGTGCATGTGTAAGCACAGTCAAGGACATTATTATTCTTTGAAACCATCTGCAGTTAAGGTTTCATTTGGCTGGTTTATGTTCTTCTACCAAATTATAGTGAAATGCTTTATCTTGATTGAAGATATTACTGACTTTATAACAATTGACATTTTTTAAAATAGGTATCAGTATTATCTGCAGCTGAAGAAAGATATCTTGGAAGGAAACATTCCTTGTACTTTAGAACAAGCAATTCAGCTAGCAGGCTTAGCTGTTCAAGGTAAATAATGCATATTAAGTGATTAAAGTAATAGTTAATAATGTAATAGTTCTATAAGATCAAAACAGTAATGGTTTCTTAAAGTAACTGGCTTTCTGTGTACATCTTTAGTGGTGTTGATATATTTACAAAAAATATACTATTATTTAAGGGGCTCCCCTGTAGGAGAAATGAGGCAGGTGTGGGCGCCACTGGGCTAAATCCCCAGCCCTTCTTGTAGGAGAAATGAATTTGAATTACTACGCTGAGCTATGAGATTTTTGGAAAGTTAACTATGTTATATGTCTAAAGGTCTAACAGGCCAATGTATAGAAATACACATATTTTTAAAACATTCAATATGCTACATATTAATCTAGCTCCAGGGCTTGATATGCTATGAGCTAATATCTTAGGAAGAAATACCTGTCAAGCAGTGAGGTTGGGGAGGTGATAGTCACTTTAAGTACATTTCATTTGTTTGATTTTGTAAGTAATTTTCCCGGTTTATAGAGCATCATCAATCACAATGAGTGATTTTGTATTTCATGATCTTTTTTTGGGGGGGGGTGTTGGGGATGAAGCTCTGTCTTGTGCGTGCTTAGCAAGTGCTGTACCACTGAACAATATCCTCAGTCCTCAAGGATTTGTCAGTTGTTTAATTCTTTCTTTTTTTTTGTATGCTTAAAGTATACATATTTACATGTATGTATATACTCGGGTGAATTTTGATACAGTATCATTTCAAGTGATAACTGGCATTTAACCTTTAGAACTGAAATTTAATAAAAAAAAATTAATAAAGTTCCTCCAGATATTAATAGGCATGGAGATGTCATTTTTAAATGAATGTCTGACACATATGGAACTGTATTCCTTTTGCAAGTACTTTTTATTTTCTGAAGTGTCATCTTTGACTTTAAGAACACTTTTTCATAAGCTTTTTGCATGACCGTAGCCAGAAGGGCGAGAAGCTATTTTCATAAGCTTTCTCCTGAGCTCTTAAATTTTTAATTTATTTAATTTAATTCTTTTGAGACAAGGTCTTATTTTATAGGCCAGGCTGGCCTTAAACTCACCATTCTCTTACCTCAGCCTCCCACGTATCTATTGTTTTTTTTGGTACTGGGGATTGAACTTGGGACCTTGTGCTTGTGAGGCAGGTGGTGGAACCACTGAGCTAAATCTCCATCCCTTCTATTCATTTTTTTAACAATTAAAAATTTCAACCCTTGCTGAGCATGGTGACACATGCCTATAATCCCAGCACTCGGGAGGCTGAGGCAGGAGGATTGCAAACCACCCTGGGCTACATAGTGAGTTCCAGGTCAATCTCAACTACATAGTGAATCTCAAAAACAAAACAAAATAAAACAAAATAAAAAAACAAACAAACAAAAAATTTCAACCCTCCACTAAACAAATACAGTGGACTCTCAAGTCAAGTCCAGCCTGACATATGAACAGCTTGGATTACAACCAGAATTTTAGTTTTAACATATGTCCAAAGTCTTGAGTTATGACCCAAATGTCAGCTGCTTGTGCTTCCAGATGGTGTCAGATACAGATTTAACCCTTAAAGAGTTCTGGAAGGAACATTACAACATCCTTTTGTGTGTGGGGTTAACTGAGAAATCCTGGGCCATTGTCTCTCTTAGGACACTGAGTGTACAGGAGAAAGACTTTGAAGGCTATTGAGCCTTCAATTGACCAACTTGGGTTACAATTAGCCCTCATAGAATGAATTGAGTTTGTAAGTTAGAGGTCCACTGTGCATCTATCTGTAACAAATACAAGTGATCTAATTCCAATCCCCAGCTTGGTTTCTTCTTGACATTTTTATGTGTATAAGAAAGCATGGGCAGGTGTGGTTGAGCAAGCCTGTAATCCCAGCATGTGGGAGGCTGAGGCAGGCAAATCGCTGCAAGTTTGAGGGCAGCCTGATCTACAAATGAGTTGAAGGCCACCCTGGACTACATAGTAAGACCTTACTATGTAGGTCTTACTAAGAAACCAACACCTGGACTAGGGGTTTAGCTCAGTGGCACCGTGCCTGCCTTGTAAGTGCAAGGTCCTGATTTTGATCCATAGTACCAAAAACAAAACAAACAAAACTGAAACAAAACAAACTCCCTAATACACACATCATTATAGGATAGGTTTTGTTTGGTTTTTAATCATAAAAAGAGTATAATATATATAATATACTCTGTATATTATACATATATTGTGACTTTTAAAAACTTGAGCCATAACATTTTCCAAGTCAAGACACAAGAACTTACCTAAGTAATATTTTACAAGGTGTTTTAAATACCCATCCTACAGTTTTCAGACAGACTCGACTTCTGAGTCATAAACACACCATCTCTGTTCTGCCTGCTGAACTTTGTTATGCACATTCCGCTATGCAGATTAAATATAATCAACATGTGAATATGTGTCATTTTCTATAGCTGATTTCGGGGACTTTGATCAGTATGAATCCCAGGACTTTCTTCAGAAATTTGCCTTATTTCCTGTGGTAAGTCTTCTTTTTGCATTGGACTTTTTTGTAAAAGGCCCTTAGAAATTCCTGAAATGAAGTCCATGTGGTGTCTGCTTCCTAGACTAGAGTAGTGTGAAGAACTCAGTTCCCGCGCAGACATCTGGAGTGTCAGTTCTTTCCCTGTTGTAGTCTTCTTGGTACTCGTGAACTTTCAGAAGCTGAAGTCTGTAGCCACTGCTGTACCTGAAAGATTAGTTTTCTATTTGAATGTGAGTCTAGGAGGGGGATTTGTTTCCAGCTTCTCAGAACCACATAGAGGTTTTGCTTTTAACTGAAGGCCTGAAACCTCATAAAGGTCATGTTGAAGTGAATCTAACCTCCTATCGGCCATCTAAAGCAGACATTGTCTTCTGCTTTTAAAAGTCGTTACTGATGGAGGGGACATGAGAACGGCATGGCACACTCTTCTGAGCGTCTACACAACCAGCCAGAGAAGGCTCAAGATGTTTTCACGCTGGGTCAGAACTGGCTGGCAGGTGTCACCAACCTGAACGGACTCAGCTGGAATTTTCTCTGGGATGAGTTGAAGAGGGAGGGCAGGTTTCTCGGCTGGACGAGTGGCTGAACAGAAGCCACTTCATTCCTTAGATTGCAATGACACATATAAGCACAGCTCCCACATATTAATACTAGTCATGATTTTGCCGGAATCGAGAGTTAATAACGGCAGCAATGATTCCTCCTAAGATATTTACATGTGTACTGCTCTGTGTGTTCCTCAGGGGTGGCTGCAAGATGAAAAAGTGTTGGAAGAAGCAACCCAAAAGGTGGCCTTGCTACATCAAAAATACAGGTAACACCAAGAAATAAGGCATGGTGATAGTGTGGAATTATTTCTGTTTGAATTTGAAGTCTATATCGACACATTACATTTGGAACTCCACTCTAGCTCCACACGTAGCCAGCATTTCCATAGCACACTCTGTGCCGAGCGTGTTTAAGGGGACACTGAGCCACATTCATTCGTCAGTCATGTTTTACCACTGAGGAAGTGAAAAGCAGTCAGTCATTAAAGGGTGCCAGGTCATCACCTTGTAGATGAAGGAATAGTATAGGGGAAGGCAGCATTAGGAAGATTGTTTCCTTTTCTTTCTTTTTTTTTAAAAGAAGATTCATTTCTTTTACAGTGCAGCAAGTGTAGTAATTTCCCCCAGGGTACTTTTAGACACAATATTTCTGTCATCTGGGAGGCTATGATAAAAGCACTGGTGCTGCTTGCCCTGACTGTGCTTTTTCTCTCTGCTTCTGTATACCTCCGTGCTGGGGGTATGACTTTCTTTGATGGTGAATCTCTGTGTGGCCTATGAGAAAAATCTTCTCTTAGAGAGTGCTAGCTCTTAATCTCAGCCCAGTATCATACAGCTCCAAGTTCTTTATATTCCACTAAATTCTTAAAACTACAGTATTCTATAAGGTAAATATTATCTCCACCTTAGAGATGCGGAAATAAAGCTCACAAAGAGTTTGGTCTTGGGCTGGGGACTTAGCTCAGTGGTTCCACCACCTACCTTGTAAGTGTAAGGACTTGGGTTTGATCCCCAGTACCAGAAAAAAATTTTAAAAATAAAAAAGATTGTAGTCTTTACACGTGGTGGAGGTGGGATGTGAAAGCAAGTCTGTCTGTTACAGCCAATTTTTTTTTTTTTTTTTTTTTTTTTTTTTGTGGTAGTGGTGATTGAATCCATGGCCTTGCTCAAATTCATCTGCAGCTCATATTCTCTGTGTTCTCTTCCGAATTAACCTTTTGCCATTAGTTTCTCTCCATTCCAATCCATACAATCATTCGTAAAAGATTAATCTTCTAAAATATCTCTTTCCTCTTATCTCTCCCTACCTCCTTCCCAAATGTTCACGGATATTTTCTTGCTCTCCATAAGTTGGTGAAATGTTGCCTTTCCATCTCTATTTTCTGCTATCTAAGTGAGCCATTTATTTTTCTCTAGCATGATCGATCCCTGAAGCACACATTATCCTGCGTTATGTCACTTTTAACTCATTCACTTCCGTTGCTCTTCTCTTTTCTTTTTGGTTTTTGGTAATAGGGATTGAATCCAGGGCCTTTACGCTGAACCACACCCCCAGCCCTTTATAAAAATTTTATTTTGAGACCAGATCTCACTAAATTCCCTAGGTTGGACTTGAGCTTGTGATCCTCTTGCCTCAGCCTAAGTCTTCCAGAGTTCTGGGATTACAGGCATGCGCCATCATGCCCAGCGCTTCTGCACTTCTTTAAAAGATAGTAACCTGGGAACTCATTTGTATGAGGCAGAATATTAGATTGGCTCAAAGATACAAACAATAATTTCCTGCCTGCCAAGAGTGCATTCCCAGGCTGTCAGTCATAGGATGGGCAGGACAACCACGTAACAGTAATTATAGTGATGTGGTAAGATAATAGGTGCCTTGGGAGAGGTGTAGGCAGAATGTAGTATGCCTGCTGCACCTGGTAGGGTGGGCACTGGGGAGTCCCAGAAGGTGACAGAGAGGGAGGGGTACAAACACTGAGTTGCAAGGGATTTTGGGGATTGCTCAGGTCCCCATGTGGGTGACAGGTGTACGAGGAGGAGAGAACAATGTGGAGAGGTCCAGAGGTGTGAGTGAGTGTGGTGTATTCAGGAAATGTAAGAGAGTGGAATGGTTGCGGTGTAGGGTGTTGTGGGTGCCCAAGGGAGCAGCAGAGGATGAGGCTGGAAAGGGGAGTCTCCCTGCCAATGAGCACACCTTCTTCTCCCACACTCCCTTCCTGCCAGTCTTTGTAGTACCCCATCGCCTGAGCTAAAAGGGGTTTCTCACTAGCCACCTCATGCGCTTGTTCCCTGCATTTATTATATGACATGTAGCACATGATTCTCAGTAATACCTGACATTTTGGGTAATTAAACAATCGGGAAAACTCCTAGCTTTTCACTTGCTATTTAGGGACTGTTTCGTCTCTCACCTGCTTGTAGTCTAAGGTGTAGGATGTTATAGATCTCACCTGTGTTCAGCTCACTGTTTGGCTGGTAGTCAGCTTTTGCTAAATATTGAAGCATTGAGATAGCCAATTACAGATGCTCAGAAGCCTGGCGTGTTTATCATGTCCTATGCCAGATTCATATGTAGTCTCTATGAAAAGCTTTATTTAAGACATTTTTTATTCCTGTAAACAATCTCACTAACATCTCTTGGGGTTGCAGAGGGCTCACAGCTCCTGATGCTGAAACGCTGTACATGCAGGAGGTAGAAAGAATGGACGGTTATGGAGAAGAGAGCTACCCTGCAAAGGTAAGCGTGGCTTGGAGCGGAGGCTCTAAAATTAGGTGTGGGACAGCACCGGGGCTTTAGCTCAGTGGCACTGCACCTGCCTTGCAAGTGCAAGGTCCTGAGATTGATCCCCACTACCAAAAAAACCCCCAAAAAACCAAACCGTAATTCAAAATTAGTTGTAGGAATTTGAGAGAATAGTGAGAAAGCTTGAGGATGGCCTGATCTTCAAGTCTGGAAGCTTCAAAACCGAGGTCCTTGTGACCAGAATTTGGTAGTAAAGCACATTCTCATTTTTCAGTTTGTGTTTTGAACTGATCAGGAAATACAGTTCCAATTTGCATACATATTCACAAGATAATACGGTCTTCTGAACATTTTATGTTCGAGTTTAGGGAAAACCAATTTAAGGAACTGGATGTAAAGTTGTTGCAGTTCTTATACCTCTGCTTCCTGATTCTTTCTCTGCTCTATGCTTTTAGGACAGCCAAGGAAGCGACATATCCATTGGAGCATGTCTCGAGGGTATCTTTGTGAAACACAAGAATGGAAGGCCTCCTGTGATATTTAGGTATTTTTCTTTCTTTTTTATGTGTGCATTCTGTGGCTGCTATTGATGATATTAAAAAACAAAACAAAACAAACAAACAAAAAACCTGCTCACAAGTCTCTCCCAAGGTCTCAGTAGAAAACGGAAATATTCCCTTCCTAGACCAAAATGTGGCCTGAAAGTAGTGAGTGGTTTATTAATGTGCTGTTCTCTTCAGTACCCAAGTGTAGAAAATAGTGCTTCTGGGGCTGGGGATTTAGTTCAGTGCTTCTGCCGCCTGCCTTGCAAGTGCAAGGTCCTGAAAAAGAAAATAGTGCTCTGACAATGGCCTACTTATTAAATGCTTAAAAATTTGTGACCCTTTTCTTGCCAAATGGAGGCCATTCTTCGATTTGATCTGAATTTTTCATTTGAGCTCTGGTTTCTAGAGTACTTGTTGTGGAAAATTTAGACCTTTCTTTTGACTCTACTTATGTAACAAAATTCTTCAAATACCAACATCTCAGCAAATTTCAATTACTTTTTGTAATGTTGATTTTTTTCCCTCCAGATTATAAAGAAGTGATACTACTATTCATTTGTTGGAAATCTTGGCGTGTACATAATAGGAAAGAGAACTGGTATATAAAGATGTCTTAATGGTTGCTGTGATAGATGTAAACTACCGAATGTCAAAGTTACAGATGGCTTACATTTCCTTTTTAGATTCTGTGTTCCAGTTACTATCTGAAACAGAAAGTGGATCATATTGTTCAGTTATTGTTCATTACCGTTCCTTAAAATTTGTAATTTTAGAAAATCCACAGTGTCATTTCATAGGAATATTTGCAGTTTTACTCTGAAGTCTACCTTCTCTTGATAAAAATAGTAAAAATTTCTATTTTTATAAAGTATTAAACATATCCTATCACTTTCAGTTTTTGGTTATTTTGTGTCTACCATTTATTGAATGCAGTTTATCATGCAGTAGATACTATGCTGAATGCTTTCTGTGTGTTTTTTCATGCGATCTTTATAACAACTCTGAACGGTATGTGTTACCACCATTTTGCCTGTGGGATAATTGGGGCTTATAAAAGCTGAGTAATTTGTCCATGGCCTCCCAGTTATGAACTGGGACTTGAATTCAGATTGTCTACTTTCAGCTTGTGCTCTTAGTCACCATATTGAGCAGCTCTCTCTTTTTTTTAGATTACTTTTTTTTTTTTTGGTACCGGAGATCAAACTTGGGTCCTAGCGCTTCAAGGCAGGTGGTGGAACCACTGAGCTAAATCCTCCCCCGCTTTTTAAATTCCTCCTATCTCTTATTCCTCGACTCTCTCCCGCCCAATATACACTATTCAAGCTTTCTAAGCCATCCCTTTCATTTCTTTTTAAGAAGTAGTTTTTCCTTTTAAAAACTTTCACTAACCAGGTGAGGACGTACATGCCTGTAGTCCCAGCTACCAGGGAGACTGAGGCAGGAAGATCAAAATGGCTGTGTAGTGAATGTCAGGCCAGCCTGGAACATAGTGAGACCCTGTCTCAAAAAACCAAAACCCAGAAAGCTCTTTTCACGAAGGTGGCATCTCAATGACTGTGACCTCAGAGAGAAGACACAGCTCAAGGAGCAGCACTCCCTTCCTACCCCATACCACCCTGGGCTGGCTGCTCTCCTTAGGCAGTTGTGCTCTTGTCTCCAAGCCAGTCATGAAGTTTTCCAAACATGCTGAGCTGTGGGACAGGGACAGAAAATAGATCTGGGCTGTACCTGGAGGGTAGAATGCTGACCGCAATGACAGGGTTGTATGGAAATTCCAGACATCCAGCCAGTTGCCTTTATCAGCAAATAGGTTGACTGATTTGTTGTCTGATTGATTCATAGTAGTGGAGATGGAACACAGAGCCTTCTTGTTGATCTGCATCCCCAGCTCCTTTTTTAATATTTTATTTTGAAACAGGGTCTAGCTAAGTGGCTAAGTTGCCCAGGTTGGGCTTGAACTTAAGATTCTCTTGCCTCAGCCTCCCACAGTGCTGGGGTCACAGGCATGCGCCACTGTGCCAGGCCGAATAGGAATTTTTTTTTTTTTTTTTTGGTACTGGGATTGAACTCTGGACCTTGCACTTGTGAGGTGGGCAGTGGAACCACTGAACTAAATCCCCAGCTGGATAGGAATTTTAAAAATCGCCTTCTTTAATATGATGTGAATAATATTTACTTTTAACAATTAAACATTGAATCACTACTGAATTACTTTTAAAACTTTACACAAATAAATATAATACAAGGTGAACACTTTTAATCCACAACTCTAAAATATGAAATTTGAAACTTTTGAACTCCAACGTAATGCTCATGAAGTTTTAGATTTCGGGGTGAGGCATGTAGTTCAGTGGTAGAGTGCTTGGCTAGCAGGTGTGGGGCCTTGGACTTGATCCCCATCATCATGTACACACAAATAGTTTTAGGTTTTGGAACATTTCATGTTCTGGATTTTTAGATTAGGGCCGCTTAACTGGTAGTCTATGTAAATACTCCAAATTCCAAAAACTGAAACACTTCTAATCCAAAGCACTTCTGAAGAAAGATAATGTAACTCATACAATGAAGAAGTGTAAAGCAGGTTAACTTTGCCCTGTTTATAAAGTTACACAGCTATGTAAGAAAGCAAGTGTTAATAAATGAAAGCTAAATTTGATAAGGCAGAATTAGAAATATAGGCTATTGTGTCTTAGTAACACACCCAGAATGGTTCATTCCTTGGGTTCCCAGCACCTAACTTAATCTTTACCCTGCAGCTTTTTAGAGCACTGCTCTCCTGCTTTTATTTTTTTACTTATTTATTTATTGGTACCGGGGATCGAACTCAGGATCTTGTGCTTGCAAAGCAGGCGGCAGAACCACTGAGTTAAATCCCTGGCCCTCCTCCTCTGCTTTTGTGCCTTCTTTTATCCTGTTTCACTACAACATTCGGCAATACTTGTTTGTTTATATCCTGTCCTCGCACGCAGCACCACCATCTAAAGTGCCCCTTTGGACTAATGTTAGTGTCCCCAGGACTTATACAATCTGCCATGTTATGATGGGTGTCCTTTATAACATTTGTTGAATGAATAGTTGTGGCATTGGAGATCTTTGACCATCAAGCTAATCTAATAAATGAGGATAATATATTTTACATCTTTCAAATGCCTTCTTCCTTCATTTACTGTGCATGCATTTATTTTTGTAAGTGGCTGATGTTGCTTCGATTAGAAAATACATGCTAGGCAATTAACATTTTATTTCAAAACGATTAACAAAACATTATGCACTAAGCTTAACGAGAAGTCATGTGTTCTGACTCCTCACCTACACGTGATCACTCACATTGCCATCCTCTGTTGTTTTATAGGTGGCACGATATTGCTAACATGTCCCACAACAAGTCCTTTTTTGCATTAGAGCTGGCTAACAAAGAGGAGACCATCCAGTTTCAAACTGTGAGTAAAAAATAAGAAATCTGCACGGACTGCTCTTAAAAAAGCATAAAGTTAGCATTTCTCTGAGCCTTTGGAGGGGAACAGTAGCATTACAATTGTAATGTTTCCTAATTTTATTTTATTTTTGGTACCAGTGTTCGAACCCTAACTGTATAAGACTTTATGAAGTTGTGAAATATAATATTTTGTTTTACTTATTTATTTTTGGTACGAGGGATTGAACTCGGGTCCTTGCGCTTGCGAGGCAGACAATGGAACCACTGAGCTAAACCCCTGGCCCTTGAAATATGATGGTTTTGTTTTTTTGTTTTTTTGGTACCAGAGATCAAACTCGCGTTCTTGTGCTTACAACGCAGGCAGCAGAACCACTGAGTTACATCCCCGGCCCTGAAATATGATGTTTTGAAAAATGGCACTGGGTAGAAAATGTTTGCTCAGTGAATATTGTTTAACAACTGAATTTTTGGACAGGTGCTATCTCTTTTTTTTTTTTTTTTTTAATTTCAGTGTTGAGAATTGAATCTAGCACTTTCACACTGGAGCTATATCCCCAGCCCTTCTTTTATTTTTTATTTGAGGACTAAGTAGGGGAGAAAACAAGCACCAGTATCTTAATTCCCATGATAATAAATAGCTCTGCAGAAATATATAACAGTTATTTGCTTTCTCTCTCCTTTTTGTTTTTTTTGTTTTTTGATTTTTGAGATAGGGTCTCACTATGTAATTGAGACTGAACTGGAATTCACTATGTAGCCCAGGCTGGTCTTGAACTTACAGTGATCCTCCTGCCTCAACCTCCTGAGTACTGGGATTACAGGTGTGCGCCACCATGCCAGGCTGCTTTTGCTCTCGACCAAGGCCATGTTGAGTTAAGGAGTCAAATATATATATATCTTTTTTTTTTTTTTTTTGTACCAAGGATCAAACTCAGAACCACTGAGCTAAACCCCTGGCAAAAGTTGATATTTTTACAAGTTTCAAATATCCAAGCTACTTTTAAACTGTTTATTATCAGACTTACGCTGTTGGAACAGATTTTTTTTTTAATCCGCATAATTGAAATCCTACTCATAAGATTCATATAATAGGCTCAGTGTTAGAAAATGAAAAAAATCACAGTACGCAGGAAGTGACTGTTATACAGTTCTATCTTTACCTCAGACAAATTGTTTGTTAAAAGTACCAACTTGTACCTTGTGTGTGTGCTTTTATATTACTTTATGCATCTTTTGTTTTCCAGGAAGACATGGAAACAGCAAAGTATGTTTGGAGACTCTGTGTTGCACGACACAAATTTTACAGATTGAACCAGTGTAACCTGTGAGTATCACCTGCTTGTGAGAATTGTAGGACATATGCATTTAAAAATTTAATCTTGAGCTTTCTTGTATAGCTACAAGGAAATTTTATCAAATGGTAACTTTTCCTGATACTTGTATAATAATCTCTTTGTTTTGTTATATATTAAAATGACATCTGTTACCCAGGGCTGGTGTTACACCTGTGTAATTTCAGCACTCTAGGAGACTGAAGCAGAAGGGTTGCAAGTTTGAGCACAGCCTGGGCAACTTAGTGAAACCCAATCCGAAAATAAAAGAAAAAGCAAGGGCTGGGGATTTAACTCAGTGTATAAAGTCCTGGGTTCGATTCATTTTGAACAACAACAACAACAACAAAAAAAACCCATCTTTTTCTCATTTTAGCTTTAGACCAAGTTCTAATCACTACAGTTATGTGTCTGAAAATTTCTTTCAAGTAGTTTTTAGGACCATTCTAATTTTCAGAAGTTAAAAAAGAGAAAAATATTCGTTATGTTTTTTAGTCAGCTTTTCAAGTCTTGTGAAGAATTCAGGCCCCTTCTCCCTAACGTACATTTGCAGTGACCAGCCTGTTTCCCACTCTGCTGAGTTCTCCTCGGGCGTGCAGACGTGCCGCGATCTCCCACCCATGAGTCCTTCACTCTGCCTTTAGCCCTAGCACCAGCAGCGCCTCTGCTTTCGGAGTGGACTTCGCGGGAGTGCTGTGCTCTCTTCCCTCCCACCCCATTGCCATGCGCATCGCATAGAGGAAGCTGCTTGCCTGGTCAGCTGACCTTCCCTCAGGGGGCGTTTTCTTTTGTTTTTGGTACCAGGGATCAAACTGGGGTCCTTGAGCTTGCGTGGCAGGTGCTGGGACCACTGCGCTAAATCGCGGCCCAGGGGGCGTTTTTTGGGAGCTCTGTCCTTGTTCCACAGCACTGAGCTTCTTGCTGCTCCTTCCTCCCTGGGCTGCCGGGACCCTCCCGCTTTCCTCCCTGTAGGCTCGGCTAGTGCCAGAAGGCCTTTCCCCCTCCAGGGGTTTTCACCTGACCTCAGGCTGACGTGCTAGCTGCTCAGCAGACTGTATCTCTAGTCCCACCTCTCCTTGAGCTCCAGAGTCCTGCATCCTGCTGCCTATATGACTTGTGCCTTTGGGTCCCTAGTGGGCACCTCACTTTGATATGCCTAAAACAGATCTCTTGTTCTCCTCCTCCTTTACCTGCCCAAAGCCCCACTTCTCTGACGTTTCCTGTGTCCACGAGAGGCAGCACACTACACTTACCCAGTTGCCCTGGTCCCAGACCTACAGTACCTGATTCATCTTTTTCCTATCGTATCCAGTTCATCAGCAAGACCTGCTAGCTCCACCTTCAAAACATCTGACATCTGAGCATTTTTACCCCCCATTAACGAAATTTGTGTCCGTGCCATCATTTTCAGCTGAGGGTTTGCAGCAGTCTTCTGACTTTCATTTCTGTCTTCCTGTGTAGCTTTTTTCTGTAAGTCAGCCAGCCAGAATGATTGTGGTTTAATGTGAGTCAGATCCTATCACTCCTCTTAAACCCCTCCCTTGGAATCCATCTAACTTACCAAAGTGTATGAGGGCGAAATGATGTGGTCCTTGCCTGGTTCCGGCCTTGTTTCCTTGAACCTCATCTTTGCTCATTGCATTGCAGCCACACTGTATCCCTGCTGTGAGCAGATTCCCCTCTCGGGGTGGTGTGCTTGTTCCTTCCTGTGTGGAGTACATGTTTGCCTACGCCTTCTCATGCCTCGCTCCTTCGTTGCCACCAATTGTCATATCAGAGGTGCCCTCTTCAGAGGCTGACCACCCTCTGTCACTCTTCCTCCACTACCCTGTTTATCCTCTTCCCTGCTATTCTTCATAGCACTTAGGGTCGTATTTGTTTGTGTATTGCCCCCCACCTGCAGTGATTTCTACAGTGATGCGTGGGAGCAGATGCTCTCCCACCTTAACTGCTCTATTTTCAGTACCATCCAAGGGTCTGGCTCTCTCGAGGCCTCTATGAATCTGCTCAGTGAGTCTATAGAAGCAGATAATTAGAGTTCTGCTTTGGGAGGTGAGCGATGCCGCAGGCTCCCTTCGGAAAAAGGTTCCCCAACAGAACAGCCAAAGTAGGAAGGGCTTTGGCAATGTGATACCTAAACTGAATGCTTTCGCTAAGTTGTCCTCGTGCTCCTGGGCCAGTGCAGCGCCTTCTGGTTGGCCGTCCGCCCCTCTCACTGTCTCCACTCAGGTATCCTGGATGGATGTAAAGATGCAGCACTGCTCTTAGACTTACAGGTCAGCACCAGATTTGAGTCTGTTCTACTCTCCCGTGCCTCCTGGCTACACAATGAAGGGCAGGCTTCTGGATCCCCCATCCCTGGCTCGCCTGCCTCAGCTCTGCTGAGCCTTGGTGCTGGCTCCTAAAATTCATTGTTCTCTTTGTGCTAATGCCTCTCACAGCCCAGGCTGTTGCAGTGGATGTACTTCTTCCCTGCAGGCGCTCAGTCATTCTTTAAGATCTAGTTTTGGTGCTGGACATGTAGCTCAGTGGTAGAACCATCCTGTTCTCCGACAAGCATTCATAACACATAAGAGGATTTTAGTAAACACTTGCTGTGTGTCAAGCATCATGCCGGGAGCTTGTATCCTCTGTAGTCCTCTAGTCACCCTCTTTGGCACATTATTATTGCTGCCTCTTTACGGACGAAGGTCTGGAGATTTAGGTGAAATGTGTTGCCCCTGCTGCGCCGTGGCAGCAGGACTACAGCCTGTGCTCTGAGCACATTTACCAGGCTGCTGGAGTACAGGTGCCTGCTGTTCCCTGTGGATTGGATGGGATGGAGCTCCGTGAGGGCAGGGCCTCCTCACACTCATCCTTATGTCCTCTCTGGCCAGGTGCTGCCCAGCAGGTGAGGGCTTCCTGAATTATGGAAGCCTGAGTGAGTGGTGGAAATTATAGGGGAGAAGAACCCCTTTACCCTTTGTCTGCTTTCTTTTACTCCTGATTGTAAATTGGCCACAAGGGGAAGTCTTAAAAGAGCATTTGTGTCCTTTTGTGCCAGGAAGGAAGGAGAGGCTGTGGAAGGACTTGCTGTTTTATACTGTGTCAAAGGAACCAGGCAGGAGTGACAGTTCAGAGAATAGGCAGACAGGGCCAGTGCGATGGGAGCCACCCAGTGATTAGCACGGAGGTACAGCCTTCCTCTCTTCGCTGCTCTCCCCCACACTGTTAGCCAAGACGGGTTTTGGTAATTAGTAACTCACAGCAGGGGTTGGGGGAAGGCCTGCTTCTTTTTGGTCTATTTGTGTATGAATGTGCTCCCCCTGCTGGTTAGATTCGATGGTGGTGCTAGCGCAGGATCCCTGAACGTATCTGGGGCTCTTTGGGCTGGCCTGGTTACCCAGCCTTGTGTGACATTATTTATTATTTCTATTAAAGCAGTAAATTTATAATGTGTGGGAACGCTGCGTTTTCATTTTAAAGACTTTCATATAAGAATGTTCATACCGAGCCATCATTATTTCACTTCAGTCCTTTTCTGGAAAATAATGGAGAATCAGTTATTCCGAATAAGCCATAAAATATAATCTCCTTCCAGTAAACATCCATATTGGTGGGTGGTTAATGGCTTTGTTTTGCAGTGCTATTGGATTTCACATGCTTGGCCAGTGCTTGACCACAGAGCTACATCCCCAGCCCTAATCCCTTCTTTTTAGAAGCATTTTTGGGCAAATCATCAGCCAATAATGATTTTTAAGATTCAGAGGGAAAAGCAACAAATGATTGTGGTAAATAGTCCAGCCTCAGATATATGCTTCTTGTAATATTGTTTTTAATTGACAAGTGTGAATAAAACGAATGTAATTAGTTGCACATATTATATCTATAAGGGACATTTGATTTTTTTGGACAATGGAATAATTATGTATAAAAAGCTATTTTCCAAATTTTGTTTTATGTATCTAGATTATGGAAGCTCATTTCTGTGAACTACTCCTGTGTAATTATTTATGATTCATTTTATATATATATGTGTGTGTATATATATGTATATATGTGTACACACACAC